AATTCAAAAAAAATGCGATTACGAGTGTCATAGATTCACCTCCCGCCTGGGAGGCGACCCGTCGGGCCTATTGAGCACGTGAAACCTGACGTACATATAGACTTCCGCCCCGTACATCGTACGACTTGCAATTCGTGCATATATAGAATAATTAAGTTTTAGTCGATTAAAACCTTTAAAATCACAGTTAAAAGAGTTTTAGTGAAGTTTCAATTAGATACTCTTCAAACAGAGAGAGAAGCATAGAGGGTTACGAGTATGACAACTGTGAACACGGGAGAGCCATCGTATTGAAGAGAGTATATCACGAAAATAGTTTCATGCAGCTATAACAAAGAGATCTTGAAGAAATGAAGAAGGATGAAGAAAACGCATCTGACGACATAGAACACTGATAATCTGTTAATTTCCTCTCAACACAAACTGTAAGATGAAAATACCAAACCTTTGAAATTCACCAGTTTGATTCAGAGAAACGATGTTCCACACCTTATACAACACTAACTCTTCATAAATAACTCTAAACCTTTATGAACTGAGAAAATGAAACGAGAGAGGCTGTCAGCAACACAGTCAAATCATCTCTTAACAAAATGGAACATGACTTACAATCCACAAAGTTTTCGTTTCATGTATCATATCAAATCTCAAAATATTATCTTTCCACAAAGTGCTAGACGAGGAGGGTCAGAAAAGAAAATATACAGGAGCATTTGCAAAAAAATTTTCAAAAAAGACTGTTGAACTGCTAAGGTATCGGAAGCAATTTAGAAGTAACGGTCAGTCTTCCTTCAATGAAACAAACAATCGATAGATCTTTCTCAAATTTCATGAAAAATAGACGATTCTTTAATCTGTACTATACTTGATCCAAACTCTAAGATAGCTAGGCTATCACAGAGAAAAACGAACGAATGAGCAAGTTTTATTTTCTAATCGAACTGTTAGAAAAACAAGGGAAACAAACCAGCTACAAATAACTGTTAGAATTGTTTAAGAAATGAGTTTAAACAATCTGAGATCAAGTTCACCAAAGAAACAAACTTAATGTGATTTCATAATCCCCGAATAGATAGCTTAATGCCTCTTGCAGAATCTTTCGAATTTCTCCACAAGCAAGAAAGAAGGAGAACAAATCTCACCCGATAGATGTAGATATTGTTCAGAAGACAATGAAGAGGTAAAACGCCTCTCTACTATGGACTATATATGTATAGATAGACAGATAGAAAAAGAAAGAAGAGCTACAGAAAGTCAATCGATACGATGAGAAAGACAAGTAGTAAAGACTAAGCGACAGTTAAACCGAGAAATAAACTAATCAATGACGAAGAGAAATTAAAAGAACTTTGTTTTACAAACAACAATAAGACAAATTGCTTATGCAAATTGTAACTACATTTAGAGAGAGGCGTCAGATTGAATTTCATTTTACTGCAAAGTAATTATTAAATAATTTTCGAACCTTCGAAACTAATGAAATGTTTCCATAAAAAGCTTTGTGCAACTACAGAAACGAGAGATCACGTATATCAGTTTGATTGGAATAAGTAGAATTAGGGCGCAGCTTGTGTTGGAATGATAATGATCAGTGTACAGATTCTTTAATAGTCATAGGGTCAAACTTATCTAACTGTTTAGGTTGAATACAGGATATAGAGCATTCAGTGAAAATTATGAATGAAATGGTACTTGGAAACTATCTGAAAGAAATGATGCTCAGACCAGAATCTGCTTTCTTGACTGTTTGCAGGACAGATCCCAAATAACTAACCACCGAGCAGATCAAAAGGACAAAGAGAAGCTTTGAGCTGGGGAAAAAACTTCAAAAATATTCAAAAAACAGAAGGAGCTATTGAAACCTCCTGCATATTCTTTTTATTTACAAATAATAAACAGTAGAAAAAGTAAAAGTGTACGACACCTGGGATTCCCAAGCCGTCTCCGATCCAAGTACTAACCAGGCCCGACGTTGCTTGACTTGCCAGATCGGACGGGATGGCGGATTTTCAACGTGGTATGGTCGTACACATTCTCCGCTATCTTAAACATTGACACGAGTTACAATGACACATTTCTTGCGAATCTTACTTTGACACCACGCGTAATCATTACATTGACACATTTTAGGGAATTTTTGATTTAATATCCTATCTAGTTTTGATGATTCTTTATTAGATTTTTGTGAAGCGGTGGAGGTGAAAGGTAACAAACATATCGAAAAAAAAGTCAATCTTCCACGTGATAGATTTCATCCTCATCAATCAGTGATTCATCTAATATCTCGTCAAGAGATGACCTGTAACTATCTAACATTGTTTTGAAATTGGTCTAACCTGCGAATGCTGTGTAATGCTCTGGAGTGATTGCTCTGTGAAATTTGTTTTCCGATCCGCTTTTTGAACTTAGTTCCATCTGTAACTCTTTGAGTCCTGTTCCTTATGTTCATGAAAGTCCTTCCGTTTCGTTTATTTTCAAGAAATAAGTAGCATTCTTCTTTATCAATGTCAGTCATTCGTTTGAAAACTGATAGGCTGCAAAGACTTGTACTAAACAATGAGGAGACTT